ACTATATGAAAAATATGATGTTTACATTTTTTTATATTTTTATGATAGCTTAAAATATTGTCTATATAACAAACAACAAAATCTTCTAAAAATTCTTCATAAATATCATTCAATAGATGTTGAAGAATAGCTTATTGATTTATAAGTCTAAAAAACATGGCGTTATATTTAAAGTTTCAATACCTTATTTGAAAAATAATCTTCTATTTATCTCCTTGTTCCTTGGACTTTTGAGATTACCAACAAGCATGAGATATGACCTTGTAAGATTAGACTCAATATACATGATGATGAAAAAAAAACAAAGACTAGTTTATTACAATGTCAAAATTATACAACCTCTTGTCTTACACTAACTTGACTTGTGGTGCTACTATATACAATCCATTGTGTACTATACTACTTCTCAATTGTCTACTAAGTGCTTTCTTCAATCTTTATATATCCCTTTACTTTACTATCTCTCCTGTTAATTTTGACATCCTTTTAATAGTATCTTATATCATCAATCACTATTCCTTTGATATTGTGTTACTAGAGTACTTCAACAAGTTTCATCCATGGTGAATATAGATTCTCAAATAGAAAACATCTTCATAGTCAAGTGTGTATGGGTGATACTTCTTCTTTAATGCAAATTAAGTTATATATTTTCTATAGATTTATATTTATAAAGATCTTGGATTCAATTGATGAAGAAGTTCTAATATCAATTAAAAATAATATCTATTGTCCATAATAATCTTGTTGAACTTTCAATAGTCCACATATAATTGTAATGATTTAATTTTTTTTCTTCACAAACAAGATAAGAATTTATCTTAGAGATTTTCAATGGCATATAAAGTTTTTGATAAGGTTCTTACTAATATATACCTTGAGTGTTGCAAACTCATTTTATAATATATTATAAATTGGTTCAAATGGAAATGTTGTATTACATAGAATCTTACTTGAAGATGCATTAAGTACTTGGTTGGAGAAGGTAAATTAAAAATTTTAATAATAAGGTCTTAAAATACCAATAGAATTTTATATAAATTCTAATTAAAGCTTAAAAATCCTAATTGAACCTTAATCAAATCTAATTGAAGTCATAAAAAAATTATAAAAGAAACATAAAAAAATCATGAAGCATTTAAAATAATATAATGAAGTTTATAAAAAAAATTAAAGAAATCATGAAGAAATCCAAAAAATATTAAAATTAGAAAACTTAAAGAAATATCAAAATTATGAATCTTAAATAAATCCTTATCAAATCCTAAATTTTAAATCAAATCTTAAATTAAATCCTAATTAAATCCTAAATCTTAAATCAAATCTTATAAAATCTTAGTTAAATTTTAAATCTTGAATAAACTCTAATTAATCCTATAATAAATTAAAACCTTAATAATTAATTGTATAACCATAGATTTTTACTCAAAATTTACATACTTTTTAATTACTAAGTCAAAAGCAAGAACATACAATTTGAAGAAGATTGAATTTACCAAATAAACGATATATCCTAAAGTTTGCTTAAGTATTGGCTAGTCTCCTTCTCCAACCTTGGTATCAATCTTTGAGTGCGAATATTTCTTAATTTCTTTATTTATTGGCTTTTTAAAAAATTTACAAATATTAAAAATCAAGTCTACTAATACTATACAAAATTTTAATTCAATACAATTGATAGATTGCTCTCATATATAAAATTCCTTATTATTATTTTAAATTCCAATTTGAGAGATTGCAATACATTTGAATTTCAATAATCTTTGAATAAACCATTAGATTAACTTCAAACTTATAACATAAATTTAATTTGTGATTATGTGATTGGTATTTTTTATTTGGATTATGCCATGGAAAATATTAAAACTACAAGACATCTATTTTAATGAATGATTATATTTCTATAGTCATGATAAACTTAAAATAATTAGATTAGATGGAGATCTAATAACATCAAATATTACTAAGCTATTATGACTATTTTTTCTTACATATAAAGAAATAGTTTCATGAATAACATTTCTTTTTAATAATTAAAAACTATCTATCGCTTTTATATACATAGACTTGGTTTTTTTGATCAAAGATATTTCTTATTTTTTAACAAAGTCTTTCTTTATAAAACAAGCTAAGGTTCATGAATCTAATAAGGTAAAGACTTTGTAGTTTTTTTTACCTTATTGTAGCTAGACAAACTTGTTATCCAACATGACAACCTTTATAGCAACTATGCTCTTCATTTGGTGATTATATTGCTTCATTGGACAATGCTAAGTAGTATGTATAGATTCTCTATAATATAAATACAATCTTTCCTAACAATGTCAAGTCTTTTCTTGCTTAGTGAGAGATTTAAACATATTACATTAATTTTTATATGTTTTAGCTTTAATGAATAAGTTTCTAAAAACTTAGGAGTTGTTGCTATAACTTAACTTATTCTTCTCCAATTAAATCTTTGTTCCTGATATCTTTCAAAGAGTCAATTATTGAATGTAATGGCTAAATCAATAAATTATTTTAATGAGTCTACTTTTGGCATTGTCAATAATAAGTCTTTAACATTATCTTTTAATCCATATCAAAATTGATTGATAAGGGTTTTATCATTCAAATCCATGCCACAAGTAAGCTTTTGGAATTTAGCTACATACATGGTTGTTGATTGTAATCTTTGCCATAAATACATAAATTTAGTCTTTATTATCTTTTTTTTACTCCTTTTTTAAAAAAAAAATCATAAATACTTCCAAGAATAAATTTAAATCATAGATCTTTTTCCATCAAAGATATAAACTAAAAAAAAAAAAAAAAAAAAAAAAAAAAAAAAACTTCTAGATAGAAGTGAGTCTATAAATCCAACTTAAGTAAATCTGTTAAGATATTGAGAAGAATGCAATCTTTGATAGAGCTTGATTTGCTATAGAAATCTTTGAAATTTTGATCTCGCTCCATTAAACTTTTCTAGCATATTGATTCTTGCCTCTCTTATACTTATAATAGTAAGACTTTTCAACTTTAATTGTAAAGTTGATCTATTTGTTTTTCTCAATTACACAACTTTTTAGTATAGATAGTAAATTTTATGGTTGACTTCTTCCATAGGCATAGGAATAGTATCTCAATGATTGATGTTGGTAATACTTGAAATTTCTATTCTAAGAATATTGACAAGCTTGTGAAGATCTAGAATAGTTATAAATCTATTCTCATATTTGTCAAATATAACATCCATAATTTTTTCTTCCATCTCTATATTAGAAAAATTTAACAAATCTATAAGAAAAATAAGAGGAGAATAATTTGCAACCTCTAATATCAAATAAAAAATTGCTCAAAAAAAATTATTTGTTTTATTTTTAAAAAAATTAATGTTTAAAATTTTAAATTTTAGTTTAAAGATAGGCACTCAACAACCATTAAAATACAACAAAAGAAGTAGAAATTTCACTTACTTCTAAAAATAAAAATAAAATATTCAATTAATATTCTTGTCGAATTCTCAACCTATCATATACCTATAGACACATATAAAGTAAAATCCGGTTTATAAAGCTTCTAAAAAACTTCTCCATAAGATATTATTAAATTTACTTATTTCTACTTATTTCTATGTAATTCTTTTAATCTAGGTAAATATGCATTTTTGTGACACAAATTGAAAAAAAAATTGGAAAAAAATTGTTAATTTTAAAAATATAATAACATATTCAAAATAATATTAAATTTAAATTTTTTTAAAACTTAATAAGATTTTAAACTCAATAAGTTTATATAAAGAATGTGTGTTTAGAAGCTAATATAATTATTATAACTAATAAGTATTAAATATATCTAAATAAATATTTTCTATCAAATCATATAAATAAATAAATGAATTAATAAGATTTTTTCTTAATAATTTGTGATATTTTATTATTAAAATTATATATATATATAATTCTTTTTACCATCCAAAAGTTATGATATAAATATTTCTTAAAAAAAATCTTCTTCTTGAATAAAAGTCTTAGATCCAATTAATTTTTTAAAAAGTAAATGTATATGTTTTTATTAAAATTCTTATATGTAATTTTGTTTTTGGATATTAAAATTATATCTATAGACTATGAATTTTCTAAATAAATAAATAAATAATATATTTTATATATATATTATAAAAAATTAAAATATATAAGTAAAAAATATTATAGTACTAGATATTTTTTAAGTATATGGTTTTTAGCTATTATATTTTATCAAGTATGGGATAATATATTGTCAGCATTATTATTTTGGTCTTGTGATTATTTATCTATCTGTTTGTATTATAATATAAAACTCAAAATCATAAATAAAATCTCAAACCCTAGAAATTACATTACAATGAATATGTGTTGTAAAATAATGCTTGTGTGAATTTCTAATTTTCAGTTTTTACCTTTAATTGCACAAAACACAATTCATATTTGAAAGAATATACTTTTACTCCACCTAATAATTTCTAAAAAAAATACATAATTTTTTTTTTTTTTTTTTTTTTTTTTTGTTATAATCTATTACTCCATCCACTTCCAATATAACATTGTTCCAATTCTCTTGGCCATATGCATAACATTCTACCTGCTCAAACCCCAATGCAGCAACAACCAAGTTCATATACTATTATTATTTATGGTTCAAAAGTTGCATACCTATATATTACAATAATCAACAACCAAGTTTGTATTATATTATTATTTATGATCCAAAAGACATTCAACCATATATTACAATAATTACTTTTTAAAATTGTATTAATTCATTATCTATTTTGAAGCAAAATTTAACACAACAAAATAAATAAAATGAAGATTAAAAATATTCAAATAAAACATAGGAACGTTCTAATAGTAGTACAAGATAAAACGTCATCGCAACTTGGATGAAATCACGAATGGAAAACCGCGGATGAAACAAGTCTAACAAGCCTAACAAGTCTAACAAGGTGGGAAGAGAGCAAGCACAAGAGCGACAGGTAGAGAAGCACAAAACGTCCGAATTAGGGTTTGGGATGCGAGGACTTCCGAGGGGTCCGACATTGCAGCGGAGCGAAGAATGACGTCGCCGCAGAATCCAATACCCGATTTTTTGTCGAAACAAATGATGAACAAACAATGGGGCAACTACGTCCCAGCGCGATGCAAACCGACTAATGGTACAGCGACCGAAATCTGACACAACTTTGACTTGCGGTGGAACGCACTCCTCCACTGGGCCCTCCCTCCCTCCCCGACAATCGTGCAACGAAATCAGTTCGACAATTTCAATACCACAATCATCTGTCCCGTTCCATCTCTCACAAACCTTTTGCAACAGAAAGCTACTCACGAGCTAATTTCGCCCATCGTCCACACAACACCGAATGGTCTAGTCTTAGAAGCCTCAGTGGCGCTGTCTTTAGATTAGCGGCCATGCAAGTGAGTTTATGTCAAGCACGACTTGATGATGATCATGCGTCAAAGTTTAATGACCCCATGGTGGAGGGCGCCCCCCTTTCCCCGCCTCCTCCTCCTCCCCTGTGTGTGGTTTTTTTTAAGATGTTTTCAGTAGGTTATAGATCGGTAGTTGCAGTTTTAGTGAGAATCGTCGATCCTTTGGGTTGCAAGGAATTATTCCAATGGGGAATGGTGTTTGGGATCTTTGAGGTTGCTTTTTCGAACCGTGAGACCTCGATTCCTCGCCTTGCATGGTCAATGTGGTCATGCGGAGGTCTCTGAGGTTTAGGGGGGTCTTGTGTGTCTAGTCCAGGGTGTTGCGTGGGTTGCCTGGCGATCTGGGTTTCTGTATTGTGGGTCTTGGGTTTTTAGAGACGGTTTAGTGTGCTGGAGATGGGTTTTGTGATTGTTGCTTGATCGGCTGTGATTGTGTTCATTGTTGTGTTGTAAGATTCCCCTGCGTACTCTTTCTTGTTGTGTTTTTGCTTCTTCTTCTCACATTATCTGTGGATTTATATTGGGTTTCCTGGGTGTGATCGAATACGTCCGATTTAGACGGATCAAGCGTATGGCTGAATGCGAGTGGTATGGTGGTCGGGATTCTGTTCCAGCGATGCTTGCAAGAAGTTCAAACACTTAAGCGTTTTTCTTTCGTTTTTATTTATTTATTTATTTATTTCTCCTTCTGTCTGGCTAGTCTAGCGGGTGCGATCTGGGGGGACATCGAGTCCTAGATATCGAGCTTTGGTATTGTAAGAGAACACGCTCTTTCATACTTGGGAAGATTTAGGGCAGATTAAAGGGTATACTGCAATGGAGAAGCAATGCATGCCATGTCTGATCAACGACATGTATACGAGAATGTGAAATTCAGTGCACAGAGCAGTGGAACTCCAGGAAATCGATTGTGCATGCAATGGCAGTAACATTTTCTTGTTTGAATTGAAATCTTTATCAAAATGCACAGTGGTTTGGGTAGTTTTAGGTTTAGGGACAGGCAGCGGAGGAGAAAGCCACGTGCATGGTGTCTTTGCGTGGGAGTTTTAGTGATGGTATGTATCACGGTGCTGGTATTCACGTCGAAGAATCTCAACTATTCTGCAAGGAACATGAACCTCAACCCCTGTGAATTGTTCGGCGGAAACGTGTGCGCGGATTTTTTTAATCAAGCTGCTCCTGCTAGACCGCTGACGGACCAGGAGCTTGCCATGCGAGTGCTCTCACAAGATTTGCTCTCAGAACGACCCAGCGAAGATGTGAAACCGAAGATTGCGTTCATGTTCTTGACTGCAGGCAACTTACCATTTGAAAAAGTTTGGGAGGAATTCTTTGAGGTATGTTTTGCTAATTATGCTCTTCATTTTCATCATTATCATTTTTTAACTGCTCTGACTTAGACTCTTACATTTTGGATTGACTTTTCTTGGGGGAATTGTAACCATAGATAGTTCCTGTTAGTATTAGTAAATGTTGATTAGCCCGTGAAACTAGAGTAAGCCTGTCGTTACCCTTCAATTGCCTCCACACTTGTTTCGCGGTACTCATGCATACTGGAAATCTCGCTGGGTGCTTGGGCACATCTGGCCTTTTCTTTGTCATTCTGGTTGACAACGAACTGAAAGTCGTCCGAAAGTACGAGAAGATCATTTCAGTAAAAGTAGACTGATTTAATTGCGTACTTTGGCAGGGTCACGAGGGTTTATACTCAGTCTACGTGCATGCCTCTAAACGTGCTGAATTGAAGAGCGTTTGGAACTCCTCTGTATTCATCAACCAGGAAATTCGCAGCCAAGAGGTTTTGTTCTCATCTACTATTCCTAGCTTGACTATCATGGAGAACACATACATACCTTAGCATTTCTTAGTCATCTTTGAAAGGCTGATGTGGATGTCTGTTTTGCAGGTCTATTGGGGAAAGATAGAAATGATTGATGCCGAGAGGCGTCTTCTTGCCCATGCGCTTATGGATTTAGACAACCAGTACTTTGCCCTAATATCTGAATCGTACGTCTGTAGCCTGTAGTCTGTGTACTCTGAAATTACGGCACTTAATCTTGTATGTATATGCTTGCAAGTATAGAGTAGCTCGCATACCTATAAATTTTATATTGTACATATTATATACAGGTAGGTATAATATTGTATTTAACTTTTTCCCTGTTGCAGGTGTATACCACTGTATAACTTTAACTACACCTATGAGTATCTACTTGGTGCTCACATGAGTTTTGTGGACTGGTAAATATCCCAAATATCCATACGTTCTCATGTAGTTCTTTCACGTCTCCTTGTCCTGTATCTAGAACTCAGAAAATGCTTCCTATACATACTCCTTCTTCTACACCGGCCCACACGTTGGATCGAGGATAAGGAACCAAGTTAATTGGTTTTCGGTAATTTTATATTGCACCATGTTCATAAATGATTTTAATTCACAAGACAATAAGAACTTAGGCAGTGTGGACGACAGTTTCATCCAACACTTGTTGTCGTTTTCTTGGAGTCTGAAATGCAGGATTTTTTTCTCCTTTGGCATTCTTAGAAGTTTCCTTGAGGGCAGCTGGTGACTTTGGAAGATTATTTTTATTTTTATTTTTAGAAGTCAATGCAAAGTCTCTAATGCACGAAGCTCATGATTTGAACTATGTCATGCTTTCATGAGGCCTGTTCAGAGCTGATGTTCTTTTTTGGTTATGATGACAGCTTTGATGATCGTGGCCCTCATGGGCAAGGTCGTTACCATGACAAAATGGCCCCTGAAGTACCACGTGAATCTTGGAGAAAGGGGGCTCAGGTATGAGTTAAATTCTTGATGATGATGATCCTTGTCTGTCTATTGAAATGAGGAATTACTACAATTCATGTGGTTGAATCCCAAATGGTTGTAAGAAGGCCCTGTGGACTTTCGCTGAAGTACACATTTCGGATTGTTTTGTTGTTTAATGTGTGTTCTCTTGATAGATTAGCTACTCAAGGAATCCATCAGGCAGCATATCGGGGGGCTATATAGTCGTCAATTTTGTGTCCTTCACAATGATATAGCAAGTCGTTCAGTTTACTAACGTCTATTTACAGAGTTATACTAATCAGGATGTACAAACTTGGCTTCCCCTAACTCCATGATGCGTTGGTTGTTCACAGTGGTTCGCCGTCAATCGGAAACATGCGCTGCTGATTGTGTCTGATTATCTTTATTACAATAAGTTCAAAAATTATTGCAAGGTGCGCATGAGACACTCTTATTGCATCTCTTGGAATATGAGGTTTGTGTAACTTTTCTGACTGATAATTGTGTGATTTGACTATTGCGGGACATCACATGCTCCTTAAGCCCCATGATTTCCTTCCATCTGGATTCACAATCAGTTCCATTGCGTTTAGCTGTATAAAATCTGCCGATATTAATGGATCCTGGGATGGTTGCAGCCTGGACCAGAAAATAAGAACTGCTACCCCGATGAACACTACATTCAGACGTTCTTATACGTATGTACCCCACACTTCTGAGTTCATGTTAGTCGCAAATTCTAAGTTACGTTTTTCAATTTCGATAAAAATACCAGTTGAGAAGTGAACTAGTTCGTTGCACATCTGGATCGAAAGTGATTGACTTGTTGAAATGTACATGCTTCTCCTATCACTTGAAGAGTCAAATCAAAACAGTATCGTTTTCACTGTACATTGCAAATATAGAAACATTATCAATCTCAGGGGTGGACCATTTTAGGATATATTAGCACTGTGTGCATTCATTTTTACTACGATATTTGATCTGAAAACTGTTGACTTCTCTACTAGAGCGCACTCAATATACTTGTATTTGCTATTAGGTTCCTTGCTTGTATTATTTTGCTTCTCTCTTGCGCGTCAATTAGATTAGGTTTGGGATCCGTAGTGATATATTATTGACAGCATGTGTCCGATATTACTAGTTCAGATGATGGATGCGGCCCACCTTTCAAATTGGACTGTGACCCATGTTGATTGGTCAGAGGGTAAATGGCATCCTAAGTCTTATGAGAAGACTGACATCACGGAAGACACTCTTCGATCTATTCAGGTAGTACTAAAGAAGGTTTTTCTTCTTTCTTTTTCTTTTTTTTGGAAGTCTTTCTGAAAAACTAAAAAACTTAAAGCATTTTTGTATTCGAAACATAATGTCTTTCAACTGTTAAGAAATTGGAGTTGTTACCATACTCCTTTTTGGCTTTTCTACTTCTTATATTTGAATGATTTACGTCTTTTAAAGTTTAAAAGTCAAGTGCATTAAAGAAGCAGCCTTGACTTCTATTTTATTTCCCTTGGCCTATTTGGTCATATTTCCTACTTTAATAAGGTATCTGCTTCTAACAGGTTCACCTCCCCATTCGTTCACCCCTTTTATGGCTTCATTACTAAGAATTTAAGTTTTGTCTTGATGCAGTCTATCAAGAAGCACGAACACGTTACGAGCGATGGTCATGTAAGTAATCTTTCAACTCTACACCTCTTTGCCTTGAATAAAGGTATCAATTCCCTTATCTTATGTTTAAGAGTTGAGTTCTTGTTAGCTGCACTGATGCACTTTATCAATGTATTTCTTAAGTATGGCATTTCAAAATACATATCTGCGTTCGATAGCTATGCATAAACAAGTATCAAACATCATGTGACCAACAAATAAGGAGTACAGAAATCAAGGTCTTTGTCATCGTGCTGGAATTTTTGTAGGTGCTCAAGCAATATTGAATACTTAACAAGTGATAATTTCCTGCCCGCAGCCCTTGGTGACTACACCCTATTTCTGCTTGCTTTCTCAAGTTGTAAAATTTTGTTGGCACTCAAAATACGGACGCTTTACGTGATTTAATGCAGCCTATACGAACCGTGTTGCCATGCATGTGGAACGGTCGCCAACAACCTTGCTTCCTGTTTGCTCGAAAGTTCGTCCCAGAAACAGCTGAGCCCCTCTTAGGACTGCTGCCGAACAACATTTGGAAAAGACCACTACCCAGCTCACAATCTGAAAACAATGATGGGAAAAATGGGTGATTTCATTGACAGACTCGGAAGGTGAGAATCATGAGAACTTCATTGGTTAGTCTTCATTAAACACATGAAAAAAAATAAAACGCACTGTCAAAGGAGTACTCTTAATTATCATCGCTTATGATTCATCTCTAAATGACAAGTCGATTCTAGCAATTCGTGCAAGGGCCTGCAGCCGAACACTGACTAGATTTCGATGGAGCATTGAAATGTGAAATTTAAGGAACGGGTATTGATTGAATGCTAGCAGTTCACTGTCGTGATCTTTTTAGATGTGTTGGTTGCCTTGTTTATCATTCGTTCTCCCATAGTTTGGGTTTTGATTAACTTATCTTCTAATCCCTCTGCATAAATCATTCTTTGAGTCCCACTTATGGAATACAATGTGAGCCTTTCAGTAGCCTGTTGAGCTGTTGACATGTGAGAATGACTTCAATGCTGTATGTTGAATATCCGTTTTCTGGATATGGCAGTAACAGTGGGCTCATCTTTTCAGGTTTCCAGTGCATGATCTTCACCACTTGAAGCGTGGCTTGTTGCACATTGGTAATCACTGTAAACTTAGTGATTACAATTAAGTCGAGGCTTATTAAGATTGAATAAGAAGAAGAAAGAAGCCAACAGGTTGTGCACGACTGGGCATGTGCTACGTAACGGTGATGACTTAATGCAAATGTCACTGAATATTATCCCGCATGTCAATTAGAATTGTTTTCTATTCAAATGTGAATCAATGTGGTTCGTTTCCTGCTGAACTCCAAGTTGTTCACATAATTTTTTAAATCTTCATGACATTATCCGACATTCAATTTGAACATGATCCGTATATGTACTATATATGTGAGTGGGGACGGTGATATAATGTACAGACTACTGTAATTTTCCATGTCTAATTGAACACCTGCGTAATGTGTTTGGTCATTTACATTAAAAAATCAAAATTTTCTGAATACATGTGTTATAGTTGTTTGGCACAAATAAACTATTAAACTGATTATTCCACATTTCACATTTCGGATTTCACGTTTAAAACATGGCTTTGGATTGAAATCCAATGTCTACTGTTCCAAAAAAACTTTCTTGCCGAACCATGACTTTTAACTACATCACTACAAATCTATCTTCCAAAAACTGGCATATTATGCCAAGATCTACAAAATTTAAAATATTTTTAATTAAAAAGCAGTCATGATTCTTACATCTTAACTACAAATTAGTGGCCAATGTTTAAAGTATTAAAGAAGTATGGAAAGATATCTCCCTACTATATCAACTTTGTGATTTACAACTCTTGAATCAATGCTACAAAGATTTTGGACAAATTTTGAAATTGATTATAAGTAAAAAATAAAATGTGGGATTAAATCACTTCTTTATTAAACAAGATAGCCACTAATCCCAAAAGAACTAACTCATAGCCATTATTATTATGGAAGCAAATTATCTTTGTAGAAGACATTCCTTCCAAATTTGATGAGTTAAAAACAATGTGGTCTCTATTACATGACATTTGTTTATTGACAATATAGAGACAATGCAACTTTTTATCCAATGAAGCAACTTGGGACAGTAAAAATTTTGATAGAAAATTTGGTCAAACCTTGTAAATTATGGTAGAATGACCTAAAAACTTACTCTAAACAAATTAGACAAACTAGTAGACAATTGCAAAGCCATGCTCCATAGTTGGGATTGAACATGGATGGTAAAGAATAAGTCAGTTGCTAGATATAACAAATCCATAAGGTGGAACTTGGCTATCTCTTGTGGTGACATAATTGTACACTAGCTTAATAACTAACACACAATAATAGTGTAATCTTGTAATAGTGCTTTGTTCATTGCTCAGTTTTCAGGTCCTTAAACATCATGCACTTTCCTTTCTAATTAATACATCAAGTATATCCCAATTGTTTTAAGAATAAAAAAAAAAATAATGTAAGAAACCGATCAGTTGCTAGCTTTGTGGAAGAAAAAACAGCCACACGATCACTAATTGTGGACGAAGCATGACCTTTTCAACCTCCTTTGAGATTGGTCTGCACACAAGAGCCAAAACTCTCACTTTGCAAAGAAATTTATTTTTGTCCCTCTTACGAATCAGTGAAATATGGTAAGCACCGACCATGGCAACTAGAAAGTAAATGCTCTGAATTCACGCCGCATTGAAAATCGGCAACTACGAATCGCAATCTCGTCGGTGACTTAGATGAGTTCCGAGTGTTGGTCGTCGGAGACGCTGGATCAGTGAGCGTGGGCATCAACCTGTTTTTGTAAGTTGTAGTCTCTGGAAGCCCCTCTCTGTGTCCTTGTTGGGAGGATGCCACTTACTGTGAGTAGAAGTGTAAGCAGGGGGAAAAGGGTGTCTACACAGACGCTATTTTTAGAGGAAAACGCCGTTTTCTGTTGGGATTGGAGTTGGAGTTGTATTTGTCGGTACGTTGCGGAAGCAGACGTGACTCGGAGGGCCGCACCAAGGAGATTATCTGTAATGCACTCTAGGTTCCTCGTTCCTGCGCATGTTGGTGTAGTGAGAATTGTTCTTGGGTTTGGAAGTGTGACTTAGCTATCAGCTATGAGCTACAGAGCCTGACCTACCCAGATGCATGCTGGTTGTTTGGAGATACACGGCGTACCATTGCAGGCTAATGTTGTAAGTGCTCAGTGGGGGTTCTTCGTTCTCTTTCTCGCGGGCGATGTCGTGCTTGTGAATGCGTCTTTGTTGTGTAACCAAGAGTGGTCGAGACTCTCTGACTGGGTTCTTGAAAATTATCTGAATTCTGTTTTTTTTAATACACAGACACGAGCGTCCGTGTCACGAGACGTATCTTAGGCCGAGTTGTGGAGGCCTGTTTAGTAGAAATTGCAGAAGGAATGTTATTTGTTTACTATCAATGAGGAGATCCGAAGATGATTTTGAGACCTGACTCTTTTTGGCGAGTGTCGGTAGTTTTTCCAATTGATCGTACTTCTAATGGTTCGCAGAACTAGAGGCTCTATTATTTGCAAATTGAGTCGAGAGGTCGCAACTGTTCCACTTTTAACTTGGAAACACATGCTCAGTGTCTCACCTCAGTCGCCTCAGTGTCTCGTTTCATATAGCAGTAATAGCTTCCTGTTCGTCCGACTCTTGCTGTTCATGTAGAACCTGTTAATGAAGTTGCCACGCGCTCATTTTGGCTCTGCTCAGCGATAGAGTTTCTGCTCAATTGTTTCAGAAAATGATATAGAACAAGAATTCTAGCTAAAGATGTCGCGTCGTACTGAAATGGATGCATGGCTGGTATTGTAATCCTACATGTTGTATGCATTCTGCTATTGCAACGAGTGCTTTTTAACGTGAAAGACTGCGTCATCGATGAATGGTCACTCTATCAATAAATAGTCTCTTCATATTATTAAGTATAGAGTCATAATAACATGGTTCTCAGTTTGAATTGTTGTTTTATGTTTTTCCATATCAATCAATCGCATCTGCACTGGCGGTGCTCTATTTAGGAATTTGCATGTCTAGTCCCAATCTCTGCATGTTGTGCTATGTAATGTGCTGGGGAGCCTTTGTGTCGTACACTTATGTATTGTCAAGGTTGGTACATGTCGCTTTTTCCCGGTTATCTTTCGAGAACTGTGTGGTCGCGCTATTCAATACTTTCTCTCCTCGACACTTACTAATTGAACGGTTAATATTTATGTAAGAGCAGGTCAATCAACACATGTTCAATCGATAGCCAGAGCGCTACTCAGGCACCAGCAAGATTCCTGCCGAACTCTTGACGAAGATTTTATGAAAGATCAGGCGCGCTTCACATGTTCACGAGCTCAACGTTCATATGTTCAACTTATCTTTGAGTACTTAGTTGCTTGTTTTAGAGATGAGAAGATGGATAACGGTCAGGAGTTGGGCGTGAGAGCATTAAAAGTACAACCTATCTTCACTCACTTTGACCGTAATCAAGATGGATTCCTCAACAGGAATGAAATGGCAAGCTTGTTGATTGCTGTCAACCCCCAGCTCAAGTTTAGTAAAGATCAGATCGAAGCCATTCTTGACGAAGTGTCCAGAACGTACGGGGGGTTCTTCGAAGGTAGCAGGGGTTTGAGCTTTAAGGGATTCCTACGAACCTACGAAGACGGAGCTGGTGATGTGGACGCGGATTTTGAAACCTTACAGTGGATTCTCTCCAACTGTAAGCGGAGCGGAGGCGCGTGAGGTGAAGCAGCAGGGGGGTGGGGGGTTGGAAGCGTGAGTGGAGGGGCAGGTGCGTGGCGGCGAGCGAAGGCCACCGAGAATGAATGAATGTACAGTTGTTGCGAGGGGATTGCGAGGTCGAAATCAGAAGCGTTGCGTGTGTGTGAGTGTTTGTGTGCTGGGGGGCTGGGGGGCTGGGGTGCGGTGGCAGCGATGGATGAGGCATGGGACGACGCCCGGTTCTCCACTCCAAAGCTTCGATTGAATGTCCATTGAAGCAGACGTGTTGCGACAGGTTAGCGACGATGGGTGTAGATGTGATGTGATGTGATGGTGTGGTTCTTCCACGGCGGCGTCCTTGCGGTGGCGGAGAAGGGGATATCCCGAAGGAGCGGCAGCGGGAGAGCACAAGCAGAAAGGGTGCAGTGAGTGAGTGGGTCCAGCTGGGTGGCTGGCCGAGTGGACGCGACCGGGTTTCGAGGGGGGGGGGGAGAAAAGGGATGGAGCGAGGGATATAACCCACATGGAATGGAGGTGGGTGTGAAGGCGGGTATATAGGAAGGTGGAGGACTTACAACCCATGTCTCTTCGGAGACATCTGATAAAATTGGAACGATACAGAGAAGATTAGCATGGCCCCTGCGCAAGGATGACACGCACAAATCGAGAAATGGTCCAAATTTTTTTCCTCTCTCGACTGCTTTTGACTGCTGTTTTTTTTTTTTTCTTTCTTTCTCTCTTTTTTTTTTCTTTTTCTCTCTCCTCCTCTCTGGACTGCTTCAGTTCAGGGTTGCATAACCAACTGAAAGAAATTTGGTTGGTGGACAATCTAAGTGACAGAGATCTCTTACAAGTAACTCCTCAGTAGACAATAGAAGGACTTTGCATGTTGTTAATATTTTTGAACTAGAACGTATACATGAATGAATTGGTCTTTAGCAAGATGCACTTTTCATGTTGATAGAATGGAATTTTAAATACTCGTCAAATTTGAGAATGTAAAATTCCTTGCAAAGTGCACTAAGGAAGCTCTTGGATTTGCATGATCCCCCATGTTGACTGGTTTATGAGACCAAAGTTTAGAACATGTGAAATATAATGATGCTATCAATCTATTAACTTTTAGTTCAAATAGTCTAATAATAGTATTTTTTAATTCAATATATATTTTAAATTTGAATTCTACTAGTTCTACTAATAACTAAAAGTTTTTTTTCTACTTTTCTTTTGTGTGCAATTTAATCTTGCTTTTTGTTATTTTAGTCTCTACTTGAAAATAATAAAAATAATAGCTTAATTTGTATATTGTTTCAATTCTTAAAATAATATATTAAAAAATTCAATCAACAATTATCAATAGTTAATGATACTTTCAGAATTTTAATCTTAAGGACTTTTAGTATATATTCCTTTATTGTCAATAGATATTATTATTTGAAACACATTGTCATGTCTTTTGGACTTAAAAATGATTCAATTATCTTTGAACATCTAATAAATAATATATTTTGTAAACTTGTAGTTTTTTTTTTTAAAAAAAAATAAGGAATAGTCGTATTATTTTATAAGTATATGGAAGATAATAAAAAAATATTCTTGTATCTTTTTATTTCAATATTTGTAATAGATTTTAAACTTTCATAAATTATAAAGAATTATTGTGATAAAATATGAAGAAGTATATTGCTAGAATAGAAGTAGAAATTTGTTAAGAAATGAGAACTAAAACTACTTGGAAAATGAGCTTGAAGCTTGACTTCTTATACTATTAGTCCAATGTCTAAGCACAAATACTTTCTAGTGTGAATACACAAATAAGTAGTCTAGTCAACAATGTCCAATTTACAAGTAGATACTTGTCTTATTTGGCCATGTGATGGTTTGGTAGGCTATGGTGGCTAAATGGTATTACTACCAACAAATGGTGGCTAACTAGTATTACCACCAATAAATGGCAGCTACAACTTGTCAACAAACAAAGTAGTGTCAACCGCCCATTGTACATTATATCTAATAGGAATTACACATTCTATTAACACTTCTGCTTAATGACATATTAGACTAACTCAATTTGATGATATCCATCATCTCCTTGAATTTACAATGTTTTTTACAAGTTAGACCTTAAGTCAAAATATCCGCAACTATGTCTTGAGTTTTGCAAAAAACCAAGTTGATGTCGTAACTTTTTATTTTTTCATAAATAAAGTAATGTTGAATTTTAATATGCTTAGTATAAGCATGGAATGTAAGATTCTGTGAAAGAAAAATATAACTTTAGTTATTTCTAAAAATATTTAAAAGACTATTTTATAAATATCCAATGTCTTTATAAAAAATCCTTGAAGCCAAATTGCTTCCTTTGTAGCATGAATAGTTGCCATATACTTTGTTTTGGTGGTAGATAATGTAGCCATTGGTAGCTTCTTGTTATTCCAACTAATTGCATCACTAACCAACAAGAATGTATAACTAGTTGTTGAACATTATGTATCAATATCTCATGCATATTCTACATCATAGTAATCAGCCCCTTGTAAATTCGAAGAGCTTCTACCATATTGTAGCACATGATTTGATGTACCTTAAAAAAATTACAAAATGTATTTCACTGCTATCCAATGTTGTCAGCCAAGATTTTCCATGTATTGGCTAACAACTCCCATCGGATAGAGAATATCAGCATGAGTGCTTATCATTGCATAAACTTAACTGCCAACTACATTTTTCCTTCTACATCTATAATAGGAGCTTGATTAAGGACAAATATTGCAGTGTTGATCACTTCTACTTACTATGCATTTGAAAGTTGCTTATGCTATAACATGCACCTTGCATTGTCAAACAATGTTTGATTCTTACATTGTACAACTTTACTTTATTGAAGCATATAAGACATCAAAAATTGTCTATCAATGCCATGTTGCTCGCAAAACTATTTGAAGAACTTAGATGTGTACTCTCCTCCATTGTCACGACATAGTTTTTGAATCTCTAAGCTTCATTGTTTCTCAACTAGGGCCTTGAAAATCCTCAAGTTATGTAGGACTTCAGATTTTTGTTTCATAAAATACAAGAAAATCATTCTTGAAAAATCATCAATAAAAGTAACAAAGTATTTTGCTCCTACATGAGATATTATCCTTACAAGAACATTTACATGAAATAGTTTTGCGAGCAACATGGCATTGATAGACAATTTTTGATGTCTTATATGCTTCAATAAAGTAAAGTTGTACAATGTAAGAATCAAACATTGTTTGACAATGCAAGGTGCATGTTATAGCATAAGCAACTTTCAAATGCATAGTAAGTAGAAGTGATCAACACTGCAATATTTGTCCTTAATCAAGCTCCTATTATAGATGTAGAAGGAAAAATGTAGTTGGCAGTTAAGTTTATGCAATGATAAGCACTCATGCTGATATTCTCTATCCGATGGGAGTTGTTAGCCAATACATGGAAAATCTTGGCTGACAACATTGGATAGCAGTGAAATACATTTTGTAATTTTTTTAAGGTACATCAAATCATGTGCTACAATATGGTAGAAGCTCTTCGAATTTACAAGGGGCTGATTACTATGATGTAGAATATGCATGAGATATTGATACATAATGTTCAACAACTAGTTATACATTCTTGTTGGTTAGTGATGCAATTAGTTGGAATAACAAGAAGCTACCAATGGCTACATTATCTACCACCAAAACAAGTAGTATATGGCAACTATTCATGCTACAAAGGAAGCAATTTGGCTTCAAGGATTTTTTATAAAGACATTGGATATTTATAAAATAGTCTTTTAAATATTTTTAGAAATAACTAAAGTTATATTTTTCTTTCACAGAATCTTACATTCCATGCTTATACTAAGCATATTAAAATTCAACATTACTTTATTTATGAAAAAATAAAAAGTTACGACATCAACTTGGTTTTTTGCAAAACTCAAGACATAGTTGCGGATATTTTGACTTAAGGTCTAACTTGTAAGAAACATTGTAAATTCAAGGAGATGATGGATATCATCAAATTGAGTTAGTCTAATATGTCATTAAGCAGAAGTGTTAATAGAATGTGTAATTCCTATTAGATATAATGTACAATGGGCGGTTGACACTACTTTGTTTGTTGACAAGTTGTAGCTGCCATTTATT